GTGTTTTATTTTATTTGTTTCATATTTCTTATTTCATCCATGTTTTCAACTATTAGACATGCACTATATGCATGCCTGCTTGCCTTCCATAACGTTGGAAAAAATAGTACACAAGACACTTAATTTGTCTTTAAAATACAGACATTCTGATGAATAAGTAACTGTTTGTAACCTTACCTCAGCTTAGAAGACAGAGGGTGTCGGTCTTTTCTGCTCAGATTCAGCTATCGGAGCATGAAGCTAATGTTTACTTACAATGCTAATGCTACCCTTACTCTGTGGTGCTCAAGAGGTAGAGGAGCCAAATGGCTGGCTCACTGCTGCCAACTAGTGGTCAGAGGCTGAACTACAACATAAAAATGAACATCTGGCAGGAAAGTTGACATTTTAAACCTTAATAAAAAAATCGATACAGGGCTTTYGAATATCGATACAGTATCAGGAAATGAAATATCGCGATATTTCAGTGTATCGATTTTTCTTACACCCCTACTGAACATCTGTGGAATCGGCTGGTTTTCAGCTGTTTTAAGGTTGCTGTGGGTCCACTCCAAAAATGACAACAATTACTTTAAACCCGTTCAGTTCAAACAAACAAACAAACAAACAAACAAACAAACAAACAAACAAAAAACAAACAAACACACACAGGCAAACAGAGTGTTATTGAAAGGAGCAGCTGAACGCAGCAGCTAAGATTCATGTGCAGCAGCAGCAGCAGCAGCTCTGCAGTGAGTCAGAGGCCAGCGTGGAGCTCAGTGATGAACACAAACTCACTGAGGAACTTCAGTTTTTACTGATGGCTCACAAAGTCTCACTCTGACACCAGTTTTTGAGCACAAACTCAACTGAGCAGAAGATGTTTACAATCATCCTTGGTTTAATTAAAGGTTCACCAGCTGACAGGCTTTACACCAAACTGACATGGATCTAATTATAATCCTCAACCTGTCCTGAGGAACAGGTCTGAGGGGTCCTGAGGGGTCTGTACCAACGCTGTGGACTCTTAGGGTGTATTCAGACCAGGAAAGTCCTTTGGTCCAATTGTTTGGTCCGGACCAAAAATGAACTTTTTTTTTTTCGTTTGGTGCGGTTTGCATTCACATTGTGCTTTTTTGCAAATGAACTATAAGTTGCAAACAAAGCCACGAGTGTGACGATCATTGCTCCCAATGGACAAAAAAAGGACGGGGGCGGGACTGAGCCACAGATCCAGAAGAAAACAAGGAAGTCCTGCATGCTGCGGTTCTGATGAGCACATTTTTGCTGATAGTACAACTGTAACAACATTTAAAATGTCAGAAACAGCTAATTTAATGGTTCAGTGATGATATTCTAATTTTGGAGCGGCGTCAATAAATGTGTCCCACAACCCAAAGGAGACGAGGTGCTCTGTGTGTTCTGACCC